AGCACACCTACTACATAAGACCACTCTACGAAGACTGAGAAACATAGCAGCCCTATCTAATACATAGAAACAAACACAGGGAGGCAGCCAAAATAAGGAGACAAAGAAAGATATCTCAAAGAAAAGAACAGAACAAAGCTCCAGAAAAATAACTACACAAAATGGAGACAAGTAATCTACCAGACACAGAGTTCCAAACACTGGTTATAAAGATGCTCAATGATCTCAGGGAGAACTTCAACAAAGAGATAGGAAACATAAAAATGGAGATAGAAAACATAATTAAGAGCCAGTCAAAAATAAAGAATACAATAACAGAAATGAAGAATACATTACAGGGAATCAATAGTAGATTAGATGAAGCAGAGGATCGAATCAGAGATTTAGAGGATAAGGTAGCAGAAAACATCCAATCAGAACACCAAAAAAGAAAAAAGAATCCATAATATTGAGAAGAGTTTAAGGGGTCTCTGGGACAACATCTAGCATACCAAGATTTGCATTATAGGGGTACCAGAAAGAGAAGAGAGAGAGCAAGGAACTAAAAACCTATCTGAAGAAATAATGATGAAAAACTGCCCTAACCTGGTGGAGGAAATAGATATACAAGCCCAGATAACACAGAGAGTCCCAAACAAGATGAACCCAAAGAGGTTAACACCAAGACACATCATAATTAAAATGCCAAAGGTTAAAGACAAAGAGAGAATTTTACAAACAGCAAGACGAAAGCAGTAAGTTATTACAAGGGAACTCCCATAAGACTGTCAGCTCATTTCTCAACAGAAATTTTGCAGGCCAGAAGGGACTGGCACAAAATACTCAACATGATAAAAAGCAAGGAGCTACAGCCAAGACTACTCTACCCAGCAAAGCTATGATTTAAAATCAAAGAACAGATAAAGAGCTTCCCTGACAAGAAAAAGCTAAAAGAGTTCATCACCACCAAACCAGTATTACAAGGAATCTTAGAGGGACTTCTTTAAGGCAAATATTAATATTAATAAATAAATAAATGGCAATAACTACATACTTATCAACAATTACTTTCAATGTAAATGGGTTAAATGCTCCAATCATAAGATAGGAGAGCTGAATGGATAAGAAAACAAGACCCTTACACATATGCTGCTTACAAGAGACTCACTTCAGATCAAAAGATACACACGGACTCAAAGTAGAGGGATGGAAAAAGATATTTCATGAAAATGGAAACAAACAAACAAAATGCTGGGATTCAATACTTA